GCTTATACGATGCATATATCTTTCCAAATTAAGTGTGGAGGGGGGGGGGGGCTTAGCACCCCCATCCCCTCCCGGCCCTTCGCCTAGTCTCAATGTCTATGCTATACTCAAAGCATTCATATAATTATGTATTTAGCTAACTGGTATGACGTTGAAAACTTTCAATAATAAATGAGTTAATTAAAACAGATGAAAACTAGAAGTTTTTAAGTACAGTAAAACGTTTGAGAGAGAAAGAATTTTCATAGTTTTGAACAATCAAATTGGTCCCTTTTTATTATGATAAATGCTAAGTTGCTTGAAGCTTTCCTCTATTAATGCCCACTATGCACCTTTACATCTACTTATCAAAGACTAAAATTAAAAAAAGGAGAAAGAAACGAATTAATGAACTTAAACAATCGACACTCTTTTCTCAAGACCCTTTAATTTTCCCTTTTATTTTATCAAAACCTTAAATATTCAAAACGTTAATATCTCAGGTCCTACACCAACTTTATCAAAAAAAAGTTATCAAACCAGGATCTGTTATTTATCATACCGATTATTTGAAGGAATATTGAACAATCTTTACATTTTTTTCAAAGTGCGTTAATATGGTCGATATTAACGCACTTTGAAAAAAAAATATTTTTTTCAAAGTCCGTTAGCTTTGTCTCAAATTTTAACGCACTTTGAAAATTTTTTTCAAAGTGCGTTGTAACATCGCTATAAGGTGTAAACAACTGCATTTTAGACCTATAACCACTTGTATGGGGCCTATTTTTTTGGGGCATTTTTGATATGGCTCAGAATAAAGTTTCATATGATCCCAAGTATTTGCCTGAAATTAAATTATTGTAGTACTGGGAGGGACAAAGGTTTGTATAGAATTCTATGGGAAAATAACAAGTACTCTTTTTATAAGTAAGCTTTCACTTCACCTTTTCATTTCTAGTCCAGTGGTTCTGGCGAAGGTTTTTCCTGAAATTTCGATGTTAAACTTGATTCCTTATCATTGCTTGTGTCTATCGCCGGTAGCAATGATTTAAACAGTAGAGAATCTACATCACCTTAAAAAGATCCCCCAGTTTTTCTGATCCAGTGGTTCTGGAGAAGACATACCTTTTTTAGTATCTCCTTTATCATTTCCCCTTGGGTGATGTCTTAGCGGTTCATTTTAAAAATTAAATTCCATCCTCACCCAAGGATGCTTTGTATCAAGTGCTCTTAATTGATTAATTGATTGATTGTATACTATTTAACGTCACTCTCCAGAATATTTCACTGATATGGAGACTGTTGAAACGGTAAAAAGAAAAAAATAAAAGAATACTGATGAACAACAAAAAAGTGAGTTTTCAGCTCAAGTGAGCTTAAATTCTGATGATAAAACTATCTGGACAGAAAAGCTGGCAGAGAAGCCTTTTGAGGTAGTGAAAAATCTAAATTGTTTAAAAATCTTGTCCTCTGTGGATAAAATGGAGTTACGTGCAATTGGGGATTATAGTTAAACACTGAAATATTTAAGAAAAATCTTCTATAGCTGTCTATAGTAAGAAGATTTTAAATTGTTCAAGGTACTCCGATCCTCTGGTTCCGAAACTAATGTTAAAGTTAACTGGAGTTCAGTGTAAAACACAAGTATGGCCAGATTATTGTCTCCGGTAACAGCGAGAAACCACAATGGAGAATCAAAGTTTTAAATTTACAGTGAAATAGAGTCAAATAATCTCTTTCGTCAGAACCATCAGGACAAAAAATTTTGAATGAAAGATGGAAGCTTGAAAACGTAGTTATCAGTAAATTTCTTCCTCCAATAGATTTAATCCAAATTCAATATAAGATCAGTGCACAGAATTACTACACTTGAATTGACAATTATGTTGATTGCGTTTAAATTTCAAGTCATTAAGTTGTCATGTTCTATGGGGTCAAAAAAGAGAGAAAATTCTTTTCGAATTAATAATTCTTTAGATTTGATTTCATTAATACCTGTTACACAAGCAGACATTACTATGATACATCTTGTCAAAAATGTCTGGTAATATAAATAAAGAAGGAAAATTAAAAGCAATATTAGGAACATCAATTATAAATTTGATTCTCGCACGCAGTATCTACGAATGTGTTGATGCAAATAATTATACAGTTGTTCAGAACATAGACCTCATCTGATGAAGAAAGTTATTATTATGAACTAAAATGCTTCAAGGTGCAATGCAATTAGTGAGCATAGTCAAATTCAAACAAAATTAATGATGAGTATTTACAAGTGGGATAGAAAGAGATCCCAGGTCGAGTTGTTCCGTTAATGAAAATTGGAATTTTCAGACAAAAATGATGTCACGACAGAATTTTAATTAAAATAATTAATCAAATACATCATAGATGTGTTGATTGGGAATTTATTTACGATAAAATCAAGCAGATTTAAGCTTCCTGCGACCGACGTCGGTTATTTCATCGTGTCTGCTGTACATATAAAGATCTTTTTAGTAAAATTAACAAGTGATAACACAACTTTAATTTTTCTCCATCAGAAATATATTTTTGAAAATGCACGTTTTCACGACGCTAATACTTCTCGATGTTTTTCTCACAATACAGCCAATTCTGGGGGACGGGAGTAGTACTTCTTCCTACAAACTACTCACATCTCTTCACGACAAGCTTCTAAAAAGTTATCGGAAGGACATCAGGCCTGTCTGGAATCAGCATACACCTGTTAAAGTTTCTATCCACGTAATTCCTAAATCTATCATTTCTTTTGACGAAATGAATGGGATTCTAGCCGCTTCCTTTGGACTTGACATTACGTGGACAGACGAAATCATAACCTGGGATCCGGAATCATATCCTAATTTAACCTTTATCCGCCTTCCCCTATCTTCCATGTGGCGACCCCGGCTGTTCAGCCCTAATGCGTTCGATACTTTTGCGTTGGACACTCTTGAGTCTAGCAATATTATGTATTTCTATGATGGAACCGCTCTATATGTTCTCGGTGTCAGATCTTCGACTCTATGTTCTCCAAATTCAAGATACTTTCCCTTTGATAGTCACACTTGTTTCATCGATATCATTCCATTGTCGTCGATATACGAAGTGAATTTCGTCGCAGATGGTGTGAATAACAAGATTTACGAAGAAAACCCACTCTGGAAACTTTTAAGTGTTGACACTTCAGTAGAAATTGACGAACATTTTGAAACTTATTTGTTCAGGATAGCAATTAAACTGCAAAGGCGACATTCGTTTTTGCTAATGAACATCTTTGCGCCAATCATATTTTTGGCGGTTGTAAACCTTGGCGTGTTTTGTTTACCGGTGGAATCAGGCGAGCGAATATCTTTTGCTCTCACAGTTTTATTGTCTTTTGCTGTTTTCCTGACTCTGGTGACTGGCAACACTCCTAAATCCAGTATAACCGTGTCATTGTTTTCCATCTACATGCTCATTGTTTTGACCTACAGTGCTCTGATAACCTTCAGTGTAATCATGGTAGTTGATATTCATTTTACCGAAAATAACGAGAAACCGAAATCGCCTTTCTCAAGGATAATAGTGTGGATTGTCCATAAAACGCAAAAGTGTAATTGTAGATCAACTGAGATAGATATCATAAAAGAAGAATTTGACATGGATGAATTTCAAGAAAAGAAACCAGTTTTTTGCATAAACTACAAAAGCATTTCCCATGCTTTGGACAAAGTTTTCGTTCTGATTTACACTTTCTTTTTCGTGTCTGTAACCATCATTTTTCTGCTGTATATTTCCTTTTATTCTCAGAGTGAAACTGTTTGAATTGAGCAGGTAAAGTTCTTTTAGGAGAAAACAATTTAATTATCTGTAATAAGGAAGTTGTTAAATGCTTTGTTTTTCAATATTTTGTTTGTGGGCAGTTACAGTAAAACTCGGTTATAGCGAAGTCCTGGGGACCTGTGAATTTAATTCGCTATATCCGTAATTCGTTATATCCGTATAACAAATTCGTATAACCATATAAAGCGAATTCGCAATATGCATGTTTTCCCTAGTGTTACTATCAAATATGTTAGGGAAGCAAATATTAGAAAACATACCTTCGATAACTAAGGTTTTATTATGAATTGAATTTTATATACAAGTGTTACAAGAAAAAAAGTCACTTCAATTTAGCAAATTGTTAGGTCTTTGAAAGTTCGTTATGAAAGATGTAAATTCCATCATATTTAATCTCACCGGGACTCAAAATGAGTTCGCTTTATCCGTAGATTCATTATGTCAGAATTCGTTATAACCGTAAAATTTTACAAGGATTTGTTAAGAATTTTGCCGGGGACCCAGAAAAACTTCGTGATATCCGTGAATTCGCTATATCCGTGTTCGTACTAAACGTGTTTTACTGTATACATTAACTACATGTATTTCATTTTGTTATGCATTACCATATAACTATGCATGGTACATGATTTATTAATTGTGCTTATCCTTTAAACAAAATGTAGGTATTCTTACAAATAACTTATTTTTAGTTTAGAATATTCGTTTAAATGTAAGAAGGAACTTCAAATGACATTTTCTTCATTGCACATCATCTCTCAGCAGTTTCTTTTACTCAAGTACGTACTTGTTTTAGCTTTTATAGAGTATTTGTTCATATTAATTTGCTGGGAATCACGTTTTCATGCTGCAGATTTTATTCAACAAAATGAAATATGTCCGATAGAACACGGGCCTATTCCCTTAACTTCTACCCTTGAAAATCAATATGTAGATTTATTATTAAAAGGTCTTCTTCGAAGGTTTTTATCATTAATATAATTAAAGTGTAATATACAATCGAACAAATAAATATCTGAGAAAACTTTGCTTTTTTTTTCAAAGTGCAAAGGGCTTAAAACAGAAAAAAACTGTTTTGAATATGGAATGTATTACTGGTATATTATTTTCACGTGTATGAAATGTTTTAGAACAACACAGTTAACGCAATATATATTTAAGATATATTCTTTCAGAAATTTATTTATTGGAAAGCTTTACAATCTCCATCCACTAAAAGAGGGTTGTCCGTGTAAAGGACTGCTTAACACATTTCCATGCGACAGAGTAGTTGGGTGTGTTCGAACATACACAAGATCTCCGTGATCAACTGTTGCGACTATTACCCCCGTTGTAGAGTGGTAGTCCCCCACCTCGTCACTGTCTGTTATCATACCAGTTAAAGCCTTAGAATTGATGACGATCTGCGTAAATATGTAGCTGTGCGCATCGGAAAATATGCTCCAAGTAAAAACGTATGTACCATCAATTGGAACTGTGAAGATACCCGAATTTCTATTATAGGCGGATCCAATATTGGTTTTCACAACATCGAACACGAAAACATGATGAAGGCTTGGACTTATTTCTTTTGAAGTCATGTATGCACAGAATGCTACAATACCGGAATTGTCAGGAACTGAAAAGGATATAGAATAGTAAAGTGTATTCCAAAAAAATGTTATCGAAGATTCGGTGGTATATAGTTTTTGCCTTGTCCGTCCATCTGTCTGTCAGCTTTTGTCTGTTTATCCACAATTTTTTTTAACCTTCTTCATACCTTTGGGTGAGTTTAGTTATGGCTTTCATATTATGTCACAGATATATTCCTTGTGACAAGACCTTTTCTTGGTATCACCAGATTTGACCTTGTTACCTTGACGTTGTATTTTGACCCACATTCCGACCTCTAATTATAACCTTAACTTTAGGAAAGTTGTTGCAGGTGCTTTCATAATTTACACGTGTTTTCACTTTGACAAGTCCTTTCATTGAGTAGAAAAATATTTTACCTTAACCTAAGAGTTTGTCCCACTTTTATACAACCTTTAACCTTGTCCATAACTTTTGAATTGCTAGTACAAGGGCTTTCATACTTTGTACATGTGTATTCTTTTTGACAAGAGCTACCTTAAGATACCTACAATTTTTTACCTTTTGAATTTCATTTGAATCTGAGAAATTTCAACACTCGCCACAAGCTACCATACAGGGGCATCGGTGTTTACATCTTGTTTTATGAGATTTCATTTTCAAAATATGATTATACAGATTAGGTGAAAAAAGCGCTTATAGACTCATTGAGAACAAAAACTAAAATACCTGGTACAATCCTTTTCTTTGCCTCATAGTTATTGACTGACTTCTGTTCCGAATTTCCATGACTTCCTGTGTTCAACATTACCTCATAGGAATCATCTCTGGTTTTGTTTAGTTCTATATAATATGTTTGAAAATCTTTTTGTCCTTCATCATCGTTATTGGAAATTTTATCAATGCAGTGTAGTTTAAGAATTTTTATTTTCTCCTCTTGAGAATCGACTTTTTCTTCCAGAAGGGCGATTTTGCTATCATACTTTTTGATCATCTCCTCGAACCTTTTCACTATTAGTTTTTCTATCTGAATTGCGGACATTTGGGCATCACACAACACTAATCCCACAATCCCCAAAATAACCACAAAGATCAGAGGGGGAAAGTGCATGTTCAATTGAAATGCTCTCTGCATTCTTCCTGAAGGAAAACAAATCGTCCCTATTTATCACGAACCTTTAAAGGAAAAAGTCTTATCTTTCATTATGCGAAGAGAGCAAATGTATATTGTAAGTGCATATCGTGATGTCTTTGTAAGAGTTCGTGACTCTACCTTACATTCTTTTTTGCTTTTCTCTTAGAACGTCGACTGACCCACAAAAAACGAAAAAGACCAAATATTTACAACATTTATGTGGATTTTGGACACCAAGTCTTTCAACAATCTATTGGAATTCCTATTTGTACCAATTGCGCCCGTTATTGGTAGACCTATTTGTTTTTCATATGACGCAGAATGTACTCAAAAGCTATTCGTGAAATGAAGGAAACTCTTGATGTGGCCTTCAACTGGACATTTAGGTATATCAACGACACATCGTCAATTAACACTAGTTAATTCTATTCGAATGTCAACATGATATACATGTATCTCGTTGAACTTGATTGAAACATATGGATATAACAATGATTAATTGATTGTGTTTTATTTAACGTCTCTCTCGTGAATTTTTCACTCATATGGAGACGCCACCACTTTCCGGTGGAGAGCTGCAAATTTTGTCCTATACTCGGCACTCAGGGCCACTGAGCAGGGAGGGGTAATTTCGTGCCAGCACTTACTGCGACAGGAGACTTCAGTTTATACGGTCTCATCCGAAGGACTGGTCTTCACGTCCCACAATGAGATTCGAACCCGTAACGTAAGGATCAACTCCTTACTTCGCGATTCTAGAGCAGACGCTCTATCCACTTCGCCACGCGGGCTACGGGGAGATAACAAAGTGTTCTTGCTACAAAGAAATCAGCAAATTCTGTTGCCCCGCGTGGTGCAGTGGTAAGAGCGTCTGCTCTAGAGTAAGGAGTCAATCATTACCTCGTGGATTTGGGTGTCACTTTGGGATGTACCATATAAACCAAGGTCCCATGTCAAAGTATGCGCTGGCATAATAGATCCCTCAATTCGCAATGGCCGAAAGTGCGGAATAAAAACAAAATGTTCAGCTATCAACCGGCAACTAGTAACATCTCCATATGAAAAAAATTCTCAAAAGGGGCTTCAAACAACATATACTCAGTAAACCATAGATTCCTATTGGGACAATAAAAATCCTAAGAATGCTGACATTAAATTACACAAAAACTTAAGAATTATTATACAGGAAACTAACTCCTATGACCCAATTTTTTTTGCTCAAACCAATAAATCTAACAAAATAAAAGAAGGATTTAACGTTTATTGATGGCAAGAGCAATTCATTAAATAAAGCTTTTTGTTTTTAAGTCAAAATAATAAAAAAACAGTCAAAATACCATTTCATTTAAAAGAGAAAAAGGGATGAACATATCATTGAAATGCATTATCTTTTTATATTTTTTATATTCTTTAGGGCGATAGCAAGAAATCCATATCCACTGCTTTTTAGATAATCTTACTACTTTCAAAAGGGAAAAGCGAAAAGAAAAAGAAAAAAATGATAAAATACTATTAAATTAATAAAAATACTCAATCACTATAAATGTATAGATCATGAAATGCGTAATTATAGTCACCAGACAAAAGAATGACTATTTCTTTATAAGTCTGAACTTTCCCTAGTGCATTCAAGTCAGTGGTGTTTTCAGACCCATTTTCATGATTTTTCTATTAGGTCTAACTTGTAATTCCTGGAAATTTTGATTTTTTTTTCCCTTAACAAAATTGGTTTATTTTTCATCGTTATATTTTGTGTCTGCTAAAAATTATATGTCATTGTTAATAACACTTTTAAGAATTTCAAACAAATAATGAAACATCACAAAGGTACACACGACCTTGTGTTCTACAGACTTTATCAAAATACTTATTGTAGTAAAATAAAAAAAAATAATAAACAAGGGAAACACTCTTTACAAATATGTGTCAAATTAATGTTTCTTTTTATTGTTACACATTACAGGAATGAAGAATAACAAGTCTAAATTAAAACTGTAAACAATTGATAAAAATATGAACAAAAGGCAAAGACATGCAGTCACCTATGCATCTTCATTTAAACTTTAAAATGTTGACGGTGCGACCGTTCGAGCGAGCGCAAACTCTTCTATTGTTTTGATTTAGATCGGAATCATCAAACTGCACGTGACATTCGGTGCGTCTAGACTCTGACGTCACATGACGTATGCAAGTTGCAATATACCGAGAAAAAGCCTGAACACTGCTGAAAGTTAATGAAGAACATTTTATTTTCTATTTATCTTCAATATATATCCATTAAATCAAGGCGAGTAAACTTTTTGTTGAACATTTGGCGTGATTCTCGCGAGAACGTAGCTAAAACAAGTGATGCATTGTGGGTCCAAATTACGGCATCAAAAAATTCTATCGAATGAATGTGCAGAAGTCCGAATTTTCTCTTCGCACAGGCGTTGCTTTAAGAGCTCGCTATGCGAGCGGCGCTTCGCGCCGCGTCGCTGCGCTCGCTATAATTTTCATTCTCAAGAGATTTCTTCAACAGCAGAATTATCTTAATCTATATTCCAATTTAATACTTTTTTTTAAAAGAACTCACTTCAAATTATGGACCAAAATGTTGCTCAAAGGAAGCTATAATTTCAAATCAATACGTCACTGTCAATTTGATCTACATGGCCCTGCTTTGGAGTTTCATAATACATCAAGAGCCTGTCTTTATATATAAAAAATGACTCATAAGACTGTATCATAATTCTTACTGAAAGGTGTTCAATCGGAAGATGTGAAATAGTGCCAGGTTACAACCAATTCAATTAATGATTGAAATTGCTTGATCGTACAATAAATACACATATTTTTCACCTTTATCTCGTTGATATAGCTCATGTGATATCGTTTTGGTATCAACACTATGTATTCTTACGCCGCGTGACGTAATGTAAGTAAACGAATACATGTGCATGATGGAGAGAATAACTTAATTTGTGAAATTTCACTTTATTTGATATATTTGACAAATTTTCATATTGAAATTAAAAACAAATAAGTGCTAAAATACTTCCTTTCTCTTATGTTTGTACGAACTATTTCATACAGCGCAATATTATTTATTACGTTATTTGATCCGAGGTAAGCGAAAGGGAACTTTGAATTAGAAATAACAAAATACACATTTATAGTGAACAAAAATATGTGATAAAAAGAATATCCCATAGTTTGTTGTTTGATATGATTTTTATCCAACGAGTTGTTTGTTTTCTATCCCTGAGCCTTGGCGAGGGGAAAGAAAATACACAACGAGTTGGAGATCCTATATTTATAAACACAATATGTATGAATGTTTTGATTTGTTACAACTCTTGCCTACATTTGCAATGTGAACATGTAGATGAAGCAAAGATGCACTTCTAATTTTTCAGCTCTTCATCTTTAAGTTACCAAAAACTCATTCATTCAATGGAAAAATAACCAAGGGAAAAGAAATCACAGATCAAAACATGCAACCCTTTACTTAAAATTAGAATGAGAACTAATACTGTCCAAAAGGGTCAAATACCCCTGCTAGGTTTTCAGAGAAGGAACCAAATCAGTAATATTTATGGATTTAAGAGATGTTCACTATTTTCTCATATACATGTACAAAATATAATTGTTTCTCATTATATAATAAATTAATAAAACTAAGGTGCAATCTAATAAAACATAAGTACTAACAAATTATATTTATTTATGTTTTTTTTATTTATTTATTTATTTACCTGGTAGTACATTGTAACAAAAATAAATTGGAACTAAACAAAGGTATCCGTTATTTTTGTGAAAAATGACAAATTGATTGTTAGAAAATAAATAATATTACCAGGTATAAAAAATCAAATTAATCTTAATAATTTTATACCGTAAATCTGGAAATTTTTACGGCGATTTTATTTTGCGAATTCGGGTCAAAATGGTGTTGATTAATTTTTACGTTTCAAAATTTTGCGAATTACCACTGATTTGTTTACATTTTCTTATTGGTGATTTATTTTTAAGAAAAAATATTTTTGCGAATGCAATGAACTCGCAAATTTGCTAAAAATTTATCTACAGCAAAAATTTCCAGATTTACGGTATCACATTCATTTTTAAAAAGTCTGGTGATCCAGAAACTAAGTACTTGGACAGACAATAAACTACAATTAAAAAAATTATAGAACAGATATCTGTAATTCATTTGCCGAATTCCCAGAAGATATAGATACATGTAACAACTAGAAAACTGTCCAGTCTGCATGGGCCCGCGGAGGTTTAGAATTATAAGGGCGCAGCTTACGGAATGAGAATTTCACTTGATTACAAAAATTTTCAAAAATACATGAAATATAATGCTAAGGATTTAGGAAGCGACGCAGTTGTAAACCAAGCTGGTGATGCTATTAAATGAGCTTGCCCGTAACATTCAACACGGTAAGCAAACCGATTTGATCCTGTTATATTTCAGCTAAGCTTTTGACAAGGTCTCACACAACAAATTACTTTTCAAACTACATGAGTATAGTGTTCGAGGCCGAAACTAAGCATGGATCAAGGGGATCCTCAGTATAACCGTTCCGAGAGGGTAGTGGTAGATGGCGAGTTCTCTACATGCATCCATCTCCGTTACATCTGGGGTCCCTCTGGGCTCTGTCCGTGGTCTCATCCTTTTCCTCGCCGATAATAACGATTTGCCGGAGCATGTGAAATCGTAAGTCAGACTCTTCGTAGATGACACTGCCATCTATATTACTAATGGACGGACAGGGTAATCAGTCAATGCTCCAAGGGGACCTTAAACAACTAGAGCTCTGGGAGACCTTGTGGGACATGAAATTTAATCCAAGTAAGTGTCAGGTAATCCATGTAACGACATCCAGATACCCCATTCGTACCAACTATACATACTTCATGGTCAGGTATTGTAGACTAGTACCTCATCAGCTCGATATATGGGTGTCTATTATTATATCGGATGACAT